TACTCACAGGACCCATTGAAGGCAAGTAACCTATTTTACGAGTTTGCTGAAATGAATAACAGAACAGAGACTGATATAAGGAGACATACATTTTTTCAAGCTACAGGGGATAGGAAGTTGTGGAGAGCTATGATTGTTGATACCTAGAAAGGAGACGTCACATAAGATATATTTGTCGATGTGGACGAAGTAATAAAGAAAGGCAGAGGAAAGATAGAGGTTTACATATTGTTAGAATCTTAAACACTGAAAATAGCGCTATGATACACGACTCTGTTCGAATCATTAATGAAAAGCAGTAGCAAAATCAATAAATCAATAAATTCTACGTGGCCGTTTATTTTGCACAAACTACAGTTTTTAAAGCACTAACACATTTACATACGAATATCGAACGGATCTTCATCTTTGTTGTTTGGTCGACAAGAGATAAGATTGTTTTTCTTTTTTTCGTTTGTCAGTTGCTTTTATTTAGCTCGTCTTTTGTTAGTGTTAAAGAATGCTTGGTAAGCAAAGACAAACAACTATGAATTATTTCGTGATTTAGGACGTTCGATGTCTATATTTAAAAAATCCGTCAAAGGATTCCACGTTCACAAGACTTACGGAAGATACAGTTCCTTCCCGTTTAGAGCAATTCTTGGAAATAGAATCTCATTTTCTGACTGCTTTACTTATTTCAATGTGGGATTTTGTTTAATTGCACGAGTACAGATGACATATTTTTAGCTAATCGTCAATGACGAAGAGAAATTCATGTCCCGAGTTCCTTTAGGAGTCGTAGAGGTACCATATATATATATATATATATATATATATATATATATATATATATATATATATATATATTGCAGCAATATCAAGAATGGTACTTTTAGAGTAAGGTAAGCTGGCAGAACCCATCCGTTACCAGACCAGTTTTAAATTCTCTTGGAATAGTTGCACATTAACATTGGTAACAAGCAACGGACATTTTCTTGTATTTTACTAACATGTTAGAAACCTTTTAATTTATTTTTTTCCGTTTTTATTTATGATGTAGGTTTGTGATTTTTAGAAATTTCTGTCGCGTTGAATAGTGATTTATATTATCTGTCTCTCTCTCGTTCTCTCTCACACACACACATTTTATATATACAGTGTAACCCGGATATAAGAGAAACCCAGATATAAGAGACTTCTCCGGTCCCGACAACTCTCTTATATCCGGGTTACACTATATTATATATATTAATATATATATATATATATATATATATATATATATATATATATATATATATATATATATATATATATATATATATATATATATATATAAAAGTCGGTCACTCCTTGTTTACTTCACGCGCGGGAATTGTTCGTTTACTTTGAATTGAAGTTGCCGTGCCAGTTTTGCCTACATTTATCAATAGACGCGTTCAGATGCTTTTCTTCTTTTCAGTCTCACTACGACCGATTCTCGTGAATTAATTGGTCCGTCAAGTTTAATTGTAATCCTGTTCTGAAATTCTCCACGTCAGAATACGTCCTCGCTCGAACGGTTTCGCAACGGTAATTGCATTAATACGTTTCCACAAGTTACAACGTTCAGCTATCCAAAGCGTATGTTCCTTTAACAAGACGAAATAACGTTTCAATTGATTTAGTGTCTTTTGTATTTTCGTAGGACTTCCTGCTTGGAATAAAAGACCGGATGCATGTGTCTAGTTCGGTGATGTCACCATTTTGTTAGTTGATAATATCCCGGTACGTTTAGTTCAAACAAAGGACCAGGAACATGGGTAAAAGTTTTCAAACCTTAATCCAGTTAATGTAGTTTGATAAAATGTAAAATGTTATGCTTTTAAATGAAACTCACTTCCAATTAACAGAATTTATATTATAATTATTTTGCAATAAATAAATAAGAGGAGACTACTTTGTAAGTCGGCTCTAACTACATTTAAAATTTCAATTTTTATTTAATCTCATATCAGCACGCGTCTACTGTTAGGAAAAATAAAAAAAAATATTCATTAATTTTGCATAAAATAATGATACCTATAAAGTACTGATGCGTTTATCACACACATTATATATATATATATATATATATATATATATATATATATATATATATAATAAACACACACACACATAGATATATATATATATATAAATACACACACACACACATATATATATATAAATACACACACACACACATAAATATATAAATACACACACACACATAAATATATAAATACACACACACACACACACATAAATAAATAAATACACACATAAATATACACACACACACACACATAAATACACATATATAAATATAAATACACACACACACATATATAAAGCAAAAGGAAAACTTTTTAGTTGGCGCGTTTGGTCCTCTGAGGAATTTTATCCGGGCAAACAAGGATTTTATTTTGTAACAAGTATTTATAGACAAGAGCAAAAATGTTAGTTTTTTTTTTTTAAAATTGAAAATTTAAGAAACGTTGATGAATATTCAACAGGTTAGATGAAAATTCTATATAAGTTATGGAGAACGCTAAATGACAATTTGATATCTAATACACAAAAGTGAGTAAAAGAGTTTGTTGAAATTTGATTTTATACACATTAATATTTAGATTATATTAGTTTGGAATTAATTCACGTGTTATTTATTTAAATTTAAATAACATGAGGTTATGAATGTAACAGCTTTCTTTTAATTTTTTAAGTAATTTATGTTGACTTGAGAAACTTATATAACTAATTACTTAACAGAGAAATCCAAAATTACCTCATGAGTATAAACTATTTCAACTAACGTCGAATGCGGTAGTCTTATTTAACTTTGAGTTGAATAAGGCTGACGCATTCGACTTTAGTTGAAATAGCCTATATTCATGAAGTATTTTTGGATTTCTGTTATATAATTTATATGCTCGGTTATAATACATTGAGCTCTTTTTGTGGATCAGTTTTAATATTTTATATTATTAGGATCCACTTGGATTATATACCAACGGATTTATTACCTGTACAATATATGTAAAATATGTATGTATATAAACAGCGTCCATTTGCGTACGTATGTACGCAACGACACATGGATGCGCATATACGCCCAGTCCCACACTGTTCATATGTGTTTATGTTCATGAGCTGCAATGCGTGAACGTGCGTGTATGTATGTCTGTGTACGCATGAGTGTCGTTCCGACGACGACAATTTTTCCATCCATTACCATAAAAACACCGATACACACAACCATATATAAATCCCAAATCTAAAAATTAATCAGTTTGTCTGACGATCGCAAATAGCGTGAAACCTAGGGTCACAAACTCACATCAATCCAACTATGTATATATATATATATATATATATATATATATATATATATATATATATATATATATATATATGTGTGTGTGTGTGTGTGTGTGCGCGCCGCCACACATTTCACTTCCGTATGTAGAAGTTCATAGCTTTTCAGATTCTTTTTTCTTTTGGGGAAAATACCGAATTGATTTTCCATTGCCTTTTCTACTGTTTGAAATTCAAAATTACATTTTGCCATCCAAAGTTAGAGATTTCAGTTTACTCCAGTATTTAACCTATGACCTAGGTTAAGCATAAGAGATGGATTCATGTTTCTCCAAAGGTCATTTGTGTGAAAGTGAGCGCAGTGGGGATCGACTGGAATTTGAACACACCTTGCCGGTTCCACTTTTTGAAGCGATATCCATTACGCTAAAGTATTATTTTCTAAAACTAGTAAAAGAGAAGTTAAAAAAAAATCATTATTGAAAGTGAAATGACATTGGTTTTAAATCAATTGGCAAATCTTTATAAACTTCGTCTCTCCGTAAGGAAAGGTTTTGATTGTACGGAAGATTTCATTAGAGATTTAAGCTTTTGGATTGAAAAAATATACCATACCATCAGAAAACTATTCATGAGTGTCTGTCAACCATGGAGAGCGGTGCCACCGATTCGGATACTGAAACAGGCAAGGAATACTCATCAGACATGAATAATGCTTCATCTGTAAAATTCAGACAACATAAATTTGGTTTGGTTTCTTTAACGGCATATCGACTCCTTATGGGTCATTTAATGCCGAAATTTAATTTTTCTCAGGGCCTTTAGTAGTTAACATCTATTTCTGGAAAGTTTTACTATAAAAATGTATTTTTATACTTTCATAGTGTTTTCACCCCAATTTGGGTTTTTCACAATTTGCCCACAGCTGGGATCCTAACAGGTGCTACCACCCCGGGTCTTGCTGGACCTGGGAACAACAGCAATTAAGAGGTGGTTTCACGTTCCTCAAAACCTCCCAATCAGAGGCCTTGCTGCCAGATGTAGTCTATCATCATGCCCAGGACGAGCACAAAAGAGTAACCCGGACAAAATACATTCATAAGACAAAAAAATCTTTCTCTTGCGATGATATCCGCAAATAATTTTTTAATATAAATTTGAATCATCCGATTTTAAGTCTCTCGTAAAAATCACATTGTCTGATAGTAATATTAACCGTTTCCTTATAAGGAAACATTTGGAAAATTCATTGATCGAGCAGCCAGTGCTGCTGTCGGTTGAAATTTATAAAATCTTTCTCTTAAAAGTGTTTTTCAGGAAAATTGGTTTCTCAAGTTCAGTAGCTGTTACCCCTCTTTGGCATATCGATTGTCTTTTGTTATAGGTGGAGTGGAACGTCAGTATTTCGATTATATCATTATTTTACTCTCCGAGTTACAAGTGCTCTCCAGTTGTGTTGCTGCTGCTGCTGTTGAAAGATGCGATTTCTGTGATCTGGTCCAGATCCTTGTTTGCGATTCCGTGGCCGCAGTCCACAAGGTTCGAGAAGGAGTGTTCTCACTGTAACCTACACGCTCCATTGGCTCGTATCCATTTTTAACCATTGATCTGAGGATAGCGAAGCGCGCACTATTTTTTTTTTTATATATACCTTCTTTTAAACTTTTGTCTAGCGGGGCTTACGACCATATCACGTTGAAACATTCATTACCGTAGGATCACCGAAGGTAAGCAACGTCGAGCCTTGTCAGTACCTAGATGGGTGACCGCTTGAGAATACCAGGTGCTGTAAACTTGGATTTGTGGGTGCTGTAAATACTAATGGCCCAGAATTGTTATTCGGGGAGCTGAGTTCCAATTCCAGTTGGGTTCGTTATTCACTTACGCGCAAATAATATCCTTGGGAAAGGTATAAATCCGCCTCTTCTTCCCCAAGCTATAGGTTAATTAGTAAGACTTGTATCACTAAGCCATTATTATCTCAAAAAAATAGATAAATAAATTAAATAAAATTGCGTACAAAATATTTAGATTTCGGCATTAAATAACCCATAGAGATGTTGATATGTCACTAAACAAAATCAAACAACATTTTGTCTGGCAACAACCAGTTAAGCAACATCGAGTCTGGCTAGTATCTAGATTGCTGATCGCTTTGGAATACCAGATACTGTAAGCTTGAATGTACGGGTGGTGCAATGCATAATGGCTCGAATTTGAAATCGGATAATCGACAATAGATTTCGACGTTAAATAACCCACAGAGATATTGATATGCCGCAAAACAAAAACAAACATTTTGTTTGACCGTCCTTTCAATTAGAAAACTTCATTTAAATTTTAAAATATCATCCATCATTGATGATTTTCTATTCTTTCTATTACATCGACCACATCAAGAATCATAGTGCCATTGTGAATAGTATGTCCTTCGCCAGGACTACACACACAGGTACCGTCCTAGATTGGATGATAATCACGACTAGAGTTCAGTCTGCCTTGATATTTAGAACTAAAACTTGAACCGTAACTCCAGTAAACTTCTTAACATGTTTTCTGATCGCACTAATTAATAAAGAACGTCTGATTACTTGAACCGGGACTCCAGCTCAATGTATCCTCCTTCCTTCCTTCCTTCCTTGTAACAGCATTCACTCGAGGTGGGTTGAGCCGGCTCCAATATTGGAGTTTCATGGGAATTTGGAATTCACAAGCGGTCCCCAACCCGCATGTATAGCACATGAGATTTGATTATAGTGGTGACGGTTTCGTGTAGGACCATCCACACTTTTTGAAGGGCCGATTACAGAGACCTGGTGCACTACGTGCCACAAGGTCCCCAAACGACCCTCCGCAGGTTTTGAATTTAGAGTTGTCCTTCTCCTAGACCAGTTGCCATCCAAGGCTATAGAACCCAATCTGTCCTGCTATTTACCCATAGCTGGGAGGAAGAGGATTCATACCTTTCCCAAGGGTATTATCACGTAAGTGAATGTAATGGATTCGACTGGAATTCGAACTCGGCTCTCCGATTCCTCAATCCGATCCGCTATCCAATGTATCGCTCACGAACGACAGCTTGGTCCGAAAGTATTGTCACCCCTACCAAAAAGTAATGAGAACAATAAAAGAACGCGTAATACGGTAATACAAAGTACATGTACTATATTCAATTTATTCATTTTCATTGACGCTGTCACATCGAGAAGGTCTGTATGAACAACCATCATTTTCGTGGCACAAAATTATGCGGCGCCAAGTCCTGTGTGATATTTTATGAAGCTGTGCTTTGTTGATTGTTGCAAAGTCTATCTGAATGGCGTCCTTCAACTGATGGGTATTCTGGTATTCGCTCATGTGAAACTCTCCCTGACAATATCCCACTGAGCGTTGAAATAGAAAATTATATTATCTAAGGGGTGACAAGACTTTAGGACTACCCTGTATATCAGGACGACAATCCTGACAACGCCATTGTAAATTAATTTAATTTTCACATAAGGATGAAAAATATGGCCACTCAGATAAAACTGACGAATTTTTTTATACTTGAGTGCATTTTTTTTTTTTTTTTTATTGTCAGGTGTGGAAAAGTTTTTATCGTTTTTCAGCATTTTCGACCCTTGCTGATCATTTCTCATGTTGCTTATAATGTTTATAATTGGAGAGAAAAATTCACCGTGTTTGTAATATCCGTTGCAAACAATTTAAAATTTATATACCGGATCGGGTGAAATGCTTTCAAATGGTTGGTAGGTTTTCAGGTATTAATATCCAATGCCATCAGAAAAATTGTCCTCGGTGTTTCTGCAGGTAAATCAGGTGCGGTTTTGTTAATTGCTTCTCGGGTATATATTGTTTTTTTTTCCACTATTGCAGCATCGCACATATAGAGAGATTTTTTATTTCACCTATTCGGGTTAAGATCAAAATGTAGTATCTGTTCTCTGTAGACTATGAGAGAAGCATGATCCCAAGGACTCTTTCTTTGCGACATCACCATGTTTATTGCCCTAACGAAGTGAGGTTGATAGATACTGACGTCAGTATAACAATGGAAGCAAGGATTGCGTAATTAAACAGAAATGGTATCACACCCCCACCACTGTAGTTAGGTGGGTAAATTTCCCATTACGATATGAAGTCGGTACCGGTGGATTTGTTTTATGAATGCGACAGCTGTGCTTCTATTTAAATGATTTGCATAGGCACCCGAGCTTGTGTCACGGTGTCCTATTTCTTGTTTCATGGGCTTGCCTTCGTTTTTGTTTTATTTTTAGACAAAGTCAGTTCTTATTGTGGAACAGATTTGTTTGTTTGTGTGACAAACTCGGCCGCAATTCTTTAGGCGTACAATGTTGGGATATCTATATTCATATCCTTATTTATCTGTCTACATCTAAATTGGAAATACCAAATTGTTCGGAAACCTTCTATGGCTGTGCTAGCACGAAGTCACACGTCATTGTGACCGAGTGTTTCAGTGTAAAGGCCTTGTTTAATTACTGATCACGCCAGAATATGCGCTCTCCCAGAAACTGGGACTGCTCTGCATAGTTGTCGTATAAAAGAAGAAACACAAATTTGCCTGAACATGCGTCTACAACAGGGATTAACTCGCCACTTTCTCAGACGAATATACTCGGAAACAAACAGTCAATTATTATTATACCGGGTATAACAACAAAATTGTCCAGATCGTGTAGCAGCAAAATTGGGCACCCCACAAAATGATTAATATCTAAAAGAAATAAAAATAAAATAAAAATTACACTAAAAACTAAGTTTCTTTTTTCCGGGTTTTCAGATAAAACGTTTAGCCATTTTGACACCATTTATCGTAAGAATCACTGAAAAAAAAAAAAAAAAAAAAAAAAGCTAGAAAGATATCAGGTTAGAATCATTTTCTGTCAGCGCCAATGTCTTCCCAACTGAGCAATGGTGAGAGGAAAAAGATCATTCAGGCTTTCAATAATAGTACAAACATTCATACTCTGGCTTCCATATTCAAAGTCCATTCAAGAACGATGAATAAGTTTGAAAAAGTGGAAGCAATAGGAAGTCACACCAGGAAGAGGGATCATCATTTCAAGTTATATATAGGCCGGCTGGTTTTGTTTAGGGCATATCAACACCTCTATGGGTTATTTAATGCCGAAATCTAAATATTTTGTAAATAATTTTATGCTTTCAGGGTAATAGCATGTTTTTCAGATATATAGTTTGTAGGTTAACCATGATTTGTGGTCGTCAGTAAGAGGATTGAGCCCGAAATGCGATTTGCAGGTCGGGAAAACTAGAATCAAGCAGACAGAGAGGCTTAAATATCTGGGAAGCGTCTTGACAGCGGAAGGTAAGTGTGACACTGAGGTCCGTAGGTGTATTGGGATAGCCAAGGACATATTCCAAAAGCTGGACAGAGTACTGCGGGGCAGGAGGATATCAGGTAACAAAGAAAAGAATACTGAACTGTCACGTGACATCTGTCCTTCTTTACGGCAGCGAATGTCGAACGATTTCCTCAAAGATGAGGAAGAGACTCGAGGCGACTCGAGATGTGGTTCTACAGAAAGTTGCTAAGTATATTATGGGTCGATCGTGTGAGCAACGATGAGATCTCAAAGAGGTTGCAAAGAAGGAGGAAGCTTATACTTAATATCAGGAAGAGACAGCTGAAGTTTCTGGGACACGTGAAGAGAAAGAAGGGCCTGGAGAATCTGATACTCACAGGACGAATAGAGGAAAAAAGAGAGAGAAGGGAAAACAACGCATAACATACCTGGTGGGTTTAAGCAAGTGGATGACAGAACATGTTCTGGGGGAGGTGACATAGGGAAGGAACTTGTTGAGAGCTGCAAGGGATAGAAGGAGGTGGAGAGCCATGATCACCTACGTCCTGAAAGGACATGACACATAAAAAGAAAATATTGTAGGTCATAAAATGTATTGTTGATACTTTTTTTTAATGTATTGCTGGTAATTTTCACGACAAAAATATATTTCTGGTAATTTAATATATTTTTATACATTTTTTAGTCTTGTTTTGTCATGTGCGCTGTGGTGTAATGAATATCGTAGAGCTGAGTTCGAATTCCAGTCGAGTTCTTTAGATTCACTTACATACAAATACCCATCTCTTCTCCTCCCAGCTATAGCTTGAATAGCAGGACAGACTGGGTTCTTTAGCCTTGGTTGGCAACCAGTCTACCGCAGAAAGAAATGGCAATCTACTGCAGAGAAAAATTCTGCCTCATCAGTCATGTATCATAAGATACATGATCGCCCAAGCGTGTTTCGCGTACGACACTTGACTGACTGATTGCCATTTTACTATGAAAATGTACTTGATTTTTGTTTGTGGGTTCGCTATATTCTCATAGTTGGGACCCTAACAGGTGCTACCACCACGGGTTAGAGTGAATCTAGGAAAAAGCGGTTCCCCACTCCTCAAAACATCCAATCGCCTTGTTGCTATATATGTGTATACACACACACATTATATATATATATATATGTGTGTGTGTGTGTGAAAAGTGTATATAAATAAATATATATATGTATATTTATATATTATATGCGCGGTACTTATTAGAAAGCGCTCAATATCAGAGATAGAGCTAACATATTTGGTTGGATAGATATGAGTTTGTGACCCTGGGTTTCACGCTTTAGCGATCGTCAGACAAATCGCTAAATCGTGAAACCTAGGGTCGCAAACTCACATCTATCCAACCAAATATATATATATATATATATATATATATATATATATATATATATATATAAAGTTGTGCTCATATTCTTTCTAGTTTCCTATGAGAATTGCTTCCCGAACTTTGGGCTACCATTTTGCTCCGTGCCTCGAAGACCAGAAAAGTAATTAATAATAAAGTTTGTATACAAAGATTACTAAAGTAATTTTTTTTTCTTGGAATATGGAAAACAAACGCCTTCCCTTTTGAGAAACCGAGAATCAAAATGTTTGATACAAATGTTAAAAACATTCTTGTTGCTAATCTTCAATGAGCCAACAGGCTGTTTAAATCAGCTGCAGAAAGAAATCAGATTCTAAAAACCGCTGAAAAATTACCAGAAGAACGTAAAAAATCGTTCAGCTACTTGTTATATACGTATGTGGAAACTGGGTGTTTAACAGAGCAGGTTATTAAAAAATTTGGAATACCATAACGCCGGCCTTTTATCTCCACTTAAAATGTTTACAGTTAGATTGATGAAAGCCAAGTTAACAAAAAAACAAAAAAAAAACTGTGAAGAAATAAACAAAGTTAATAAATAAACATAATGAATGGAGAGAAGGAAAAATAATATAAAACGCTATTATTAAAAAAAAATGTGAATGGGAGAAAATTTCGAATTTCTACTCATTCATAAAATAGAAATGCCTAACTTCCTTGCAAAATAAAAAAAAAGCAAAACAAGAATTTTTGTTTAAGCGAAACGAATAAATTCCAAGGAGAGGCAGCTATTGTTAAAACAGGCAGGACATGAGAATTATGTTAACAATGGCGTCTGAAATATCATGGTTTTGTTTATATATATATATATATATATATATATATATATATATATATATATATAAAACAAGTTTTCTTAAACCAATAAAGTATGTTTTTGTACTATTTTTGTTTAAGTATTTCTTGTCTCTTATCAATAACTAAATTTATTCAGTACCATATTATTAACATGGCGCATATTAATATATAATACCAAATTTACCCCTTGTAAATGGTAATATTAGCAATTTTTTTATAAGGAAACATTTGACATTCATTGACCGAGCAGCTAGTACTCTCCTGTCTGTTGAAATTTATAAAATCTTCGTCTTAAAATAATTTTTCAGGAAAATAGGTTTCTCAAGTCCAGTATCTGTTATTGCTCTTTCCAGTATTAGTGGTGGTGGAAGAGTTCCTTCCTAAACTTTTGTTTGAAGTATTGTAGAACGTCAACATTTTGGTTGTCAACATTATACAAAAATAAACAACATTACGGTACAGGGGGATGACATTTTTAAAAATATTGAATAAAATATTTGTCTTCCAGTGACGGTAACTGTTGCGATACCGCCTTATACATACCGCCACTTAATACACTTGCAATTAAATTTGAAATGCAGCGTTCCAAAATTACCAGAATGTACCTATCAACAGTTCTGTCTGTGATACTGACGAATAATAAATCAAAAGAGAACCAGGAACCTCATCCAGTTTCTCACCAATTTTGATTCTAACATGTAACATCTTATTCGAAAATGAAGAAACAATAACAAATTAAGCTGACAAAACTTGTTGATTGAATATAATAAACCTTAAATGGACTATTGCCGCTTAAATACACACACAAATATAATATAACATAATGTAATGCAATAAATGAAATTATATATTCACTTATCTTGACTACTCTGAGCTTCGTGGATATTACATCCATAATCCAAGAGATTTGATTGGGAAATTGAACTTATTTTCAGAATTAATTTTCCTTAAAACATGTTAACTTATGAAGTAAATTTGAATTTGTCCTACCAAACATGACTTTATTACGAAAAAAAATACGTGTAGGTCGTAAGTTAACGTCTTCAATTTTACAGTTACGTCTCCTGAAGAGTGGATACAATGTCCACGAATCTCAGAATTAGGACAAAAAACAAAGGAAGATTTAACTTTATTAGTAGTAGTAATTACTAGTAATTCTTGATCTCTTGACATTGAGCGCTCTAATTACAATGACTGCTTACCTTAGAAATATTATCTTCCAGAATTACCTTGGTCGACCGTTTTATTTATTTATTTTTTGGCGAAACACAACATTTTATTGTGATTATATATGAATAAACAAGGTAAGTTTTAAGTTACCTGCCTCTTGATCATGGTCAGGTTTCTTACGCCTACACACACGAATGGAAAACAAAACGTCAATGTATTTTAATCGACAAAAAAATGTTTCTTTCTGCCATGGCTATTTCCAGCGATTTTTCTTATATTTCACTCATCGAGTGTACACACCAGTTGTAACCGGTAACTTTCATTGTAGATTACTGATGACAGTAAGAGAAATATGGTTTTACAGAAGGATGTTGAGGATACCATGAGCCAAAATGTATGCAACGACGAGGTTTTGGAGAGAATGGAAACAAAGAGGAAATTTATACTTAACACCAGGTAAAGACAGCTGACATTTCTGTGACACGTAATGAGGAAGGAGAGCTTGGAAAATCTGATACTCACAGGACGGATGAGGGAATGAGGGACAGGGGAAAGCAATGTGTGACATAGTGACTGGACTTGAGTAAGTTGATGGAAGAGCAGGGTCTGGGAGAAATAGCAAAAAAAAAAAAAAAAAAAAACTTATTAAGAGCTACAAAGGAATGAAGAAGAGGTGGAGGGCCATGATCGTCTACATTCTGAAGGGACACGTCAATACTCAAGCTATTTTAATTCTTTCTCGCCGTTCTCTCATGTCGACGTCCTTGAATCTTTCTTGCTAGGCATCTTGGGATCGTTCTGAGCGTTCTAACAAAGATGGACATAATTGTTAAACTGATAATCTACAGATAAATGTTTTCAGTTCTCTTCAGAAATTAGTTTGTGGAAAGCGTTTTCCTTTTAATCATTTAACCCCAAGCAAGGCAATAAAGCCACTAAAACGCAAGGGATTACTGTCACCTTAGAAAATATGAGAAAATATACTACTAAGGAGAGAAGACAATAAAAGAACAAGACTTAAGACAGAAAATAACGAATGACATTGTATTTAAATTTTTGAAGATCTCACTTGGCTGCGAAGCAAGAAGACGGAAGAGTTCTACAAGCGGGAGGTGCGATAGAAGAAACTGTTAGCATAGAACTTACGGTTACATCTAGTCATTGAAACTGTAAAACGATGAGGCCTTGCGCTTAAATTCATGAAAGAATTACCAAAGAAGAAAGATCATCAAAACAATTACAGTGAAAATATTTATAAAAAGCTACGTTACAGCGGTGAAAAAGTGACAGAAGCCAAGATGTCTGGCTAAGATCGATAAAATTGCAGATTCTTTGGATTTTATCATATATAGCAGGAGCACGAGACCGGATTTGGCAGCGTTTAAAATTCTTAAAAGGAGTAAAAATAAAAACACAAATCAATGAAAATTAGTTTAAGTGCTGGAAGCATTCATTTGGGGAAACATTCAAAGAATTTACATTTCCTCTCTTTCATAAGACATGAAAGCGTATCTGATATACTTTTAGCGGTTTCTATTCAATCTCCGAAGTTAAGCAACGTGAAGCCTAGTCAATACCTAGATGTGTGACCGCTTGGGAATACCAGATGCTATAAGCGGGTGTTGTAATGAATAACTGCTCAGTATTGTTAATCAGAGAGCCAAGTTCAAATTCCAGGCGGGTTATTTCTATTTACTTACGCGCAAATACCGTTGGGAAAGATATGAATCCAGCTCTTCTCCCCCAGCTATTGGTTAATTATTTACACTTGTATCAGTAAATCATTATTATCTACAAAACATTCTAACAATCTAGCTTCTGGCTTTAAATAACTTGCAAAGTGTTGATGAACCATAAAAAAAGAAAGATATACCTTTAAAGTATCAGCTATCTTGGCATATATCCATTTACCATTTTTAAGAATTACTGTGACGCTAAATTTTAAGAATCATTTGTCCTTTCACATTTTGAAATGCGTGTTCTTATATCTTCAACCATGATTGATATAATTTGCTGAAATATACAAACGCAACTGGTGCAATTGAAAAAAAAAATCAATTTTTGCTTACCTTTCAGTAGTTGGCCTTCAAACACTATGTTATTAAAAAAAATAACAAGCGTTACTTTATTCAGGTTGAACCGTAACAAGAACTTGACACATGGACATGAATAGTAACCTTTAGTGAAATAAATATACAAATTTAACGACTATCAAGGAACAGAACGAATAATTAGTAATAACCATAAAATAGGATTTGAAAATACAACAAAATTGGCAAAAAGTTGGTGATAAATATGCAAATATAACAACGGACAGAAATTATATTGTTGCTGTGGTTTCAATTGCAACCGTCAAGCTACTTTTGTTTAAAGAAATACGAAAGAAAACGATTCTTTTATTCGGCGTCCAATTTAATTCTGTACCACGAAGGCAGGTGAGGACTAGATGGAAGCCCGAACAAGCATTAAAAGCAATCTGTTAAGTGCAGAATCAATAAAATAAAGTCCGAAGCAAGTTTAGACGGGACAAGATTATGCCGGCCTTATTTTGTCAAATTGATAGACAATTGGAATGACAAAAAAAAAAAAAAAAATAAAAAATACATAAGTTGAAATATCTATCATATAGTTGTTAAATGTTTCAAGACGAGGTACTGGTACCAGTATACACCTTTCCTTGCCTTTGTTGTCGTTATCACGAAACATCGGGCGCTATACAGTCTTTCTTTCTGAATCTCTGAACATATACGTGGAGTCATTTGAATCAGTTTCTCAAAAGCGAGCCAACAGTTTATTATTATCCTATTATAATTGTGCTTGTTTCCCCCTTCATTAGTTTGCACGACCGTTACGCCCTGTCAATATCTCATAAACTGTTGTAATGTTGTCTTTGTGCAAAATAGCCGAGAATTAGAAAAGCCGTAGTTAGAGATAGTATCGAAAGAACAGAAGACTAAGCAGAGGAAACAAAGAAGAGGTTTATTAAATCTCATACGTAGAACAGGAAAAATTGAGTAAATCAAATACTACTCAAATCCTACTCTAATGTGACTACTTGCCATATTTATGGACTATTACGTTTTGATCGCGTGGAAAAGAAAGAAAGAAAGAGAGGGAGGAAGAAAGAAAGAGAGGGAGGAATAAAGAAAGAGAGGGAGGAATAAAGAAAGAGAGGGAGGAATAAAGAAAGAGAAGGAGGAATAAAGAAAGAGAGGGAGGAATAAAGAAAGAGAGGGAGGAATAAAGAAAGAGAGGGAGGAATAAAGAAAGAGGCGGAGAGAGACACAATCAGATTAAGCTGAAAAGAACAGATACTACACTTTGTTTTTAGACAAAAGGAGCGAGAAGCGATTGTATTTTCTTGCCGATCCACGCTAGCAGGATGTGACACAAGGTCACTTTAATGTGGGGAAACCGAACGCGTACACCCGGGCCAAGTCCAAAATCAGCCCCGCAACCGTCGGTTGTGTTGGCATCTGTATGTTTTCAGTTACGCTCTCTATAAAGACAGATACAACTGAGAGATGAAATATAGTTTATCCGCTCAAGGGCAGATACACTTTCATCCCAGCCAAAAGGCCAAGAAGCGATAGCAATAAAAGCGCCATTTCTCAGATACACAGTATCGAACAGCGGAAACCTAGTAAAGCAATCGCCAAAACTCCAGTTACCATAAATAACATAGTTTGTTGAATTATTTTAAAATTCTTATTAATAGAAATGTTCGTAGGACGGTGATTTGGCTAAAAAGGAAAATGAAAGTGTTTAACCTCTCCTGTCAATACCTCATAAATAATGAACTATTCAGTTTTGATTGTGCCGAAAAGCAAAAGACATACGCTACTTGGTTTCAGTGAGAAAATGAATAAAATAAAGTAGGGGAGATAGAAGTTTTTTAACGGTTGCGTCAATGAAATGGAAAACATTTGTCAATTTCAAATCTTTTCATTTCTATCTACTTCTTAAAATAACGACCAGCATTCATATTTATAATTGTTATTGCAATATTATTTTAAGCTCAAATATTTAACGATGCGATAGGGGAATTTCTATGGATATTTTATTGTCATAGAACTCGCCGTTAAGCTTATTCATTCATTAACTGAAGAATTAAGAATCATTAGTAAATTCAAATAGAAAACTGCGAAATTTTCACGGATCTTTGTATTTGTAATTATTATTATTGTATTTGTAATTATTATTATTATTATTGTATTTGTAATTGTTATTATCATCAAGAGTTTAAACACCGATTGTTGATTTCCATTAAGAGCCGCTTTCCACAGACTAATTTACGAATTTTTCTTAAAGTTTGTAAACGACATACTAAAGTTGATTGGTTTTAAAAGTTTTCTTAATTCCTGTTATATTATTGTTTTTTTTTCTCTCCTTAATGCTTTTTTCTCATTCTTACACTGTGTAACCTCTTGCGTCTTAGTGGCTTTATTACCTTGCTTGGGATGAAAATGAAATGACCAAAAAAAAAAAAAAACAATCCTCCCGAAAGACCATGTGATCTGGATGCAATATGTGTCTTGTCGTGGGTAGTAGATATCCTGATAAAATTATTCTAGGATGCCTCTCACCAAACTTTTATTTATATCGTAGCACCGACGAGCACGTGTCCGGTGGCATCGTGATAGGGTCACCTGGAGGATTATTTGGCGCTCAATAGTCTTTAGTGATAAGGGAAAAAATTCGCTTTCATGCAAGTGATGGTAATTTGTGAATGCGACATCTACAAGAGTTTATTCGTTCAGAGCACAGATGAACAACATTTGGCACCATAGCGTTGGGTGCCAGAAATCTCACTCAATCTTTGATGCTCTTAGAGGGATGTCTGAATCGCAACATATACGTTCAGAACATTTGAACGATCCATTCTGCTGCCATTCTTGCAACAAGAATGAATTCTGCTGTTCCAGAGGTATGCTACTCAACATTCACGCAAAGATACAAGTACGATTACTAGGCCTGCATACAATTGATCATACAGGAGACATGGCATGTCTCCAGACTCGTTCAGGGACCCCATCTATTACTTATTATATTGAGTCAAATTGTGAAAGAGGCGTGGAATAATGTATCGATATTTTTACGTTTGTATGCTCAGGAAATACGGACCTAATTTGACGCTGAAGGAGGATATATAATGTATTCACTGGAGTCTGAATGCTGTTGGGGCACTCTTTATTATGGAAACTTTACATATATTAATCCATGTATGGCGTCATTTAGTATAATCTTGCCATATTACCCGAGTTTGTTGCAATTTTATTTCCTCTTGCGTTACACACTCTGAAGTACTTATTTCACGTAACAATTCCAACATACCGTAGATTTGTAATTTATCTATATATAAAATTCTGTGACTTTCGTTAGTTTGTTCGTCATACTCTCTAAAAAAACCATACATTGACTGATCGAAACAAAATTTTGGAAAGAAGTGCAAACAGAAGAAAAAATAAATAAATGAAAATTATTCTTACGATCTAAAATATGATATGGCTTTAAATAACCCACAATAGATTGATAAACCGTAAAAAAGTCGAACTAAAGTAATTATTACCAATAAGTGGAGCCCTTAAAATTCCTACACACACACGCACACAAATGTTGTTGGTGGACTCATGACATTTCGAATAGCAATAATCCAGACATTGAATTGTTATACACGCCACAGATGTATTCGTTGGCTAACTTGTAACTTGCCCAAGTTAGGGCAATTCGAACACATATCGGCCATAACATCACAAGCAACCAAAGGACGACACAACACTAATCACAGGTAAGACAACAATCTAAAAAAAAGTATGTAAAAGAAGCAACGCACATTAAATATCTTGGGTGCCTCGAGGTGTTGTAATAGTTAGAAAGATTGTCTCGCTAGATCAATTACGAATGAGTAGTGAGTTCGATCCTCACTGGGTGCCCCATACTTTCGATTTTGTGCCACATCTAAGCTATGCTTGGGAAAAAAAAAATTAAAATATCTTTCAACACAGGAGACGAAATCTTAAAATATGTATAAAATATATAAGAGGCATAAAAACAAAAATACATAAATATTTTATACATACGTAACAGAAAGTGTCAGTTTCACATGATATCAGTTTGGATTAATTTGAATTCCAGCGTTAATAAGGAAAAAAAAAGCCAGGATGTAGTAAACAAAATCTTGTCTACCACCTTTTGACAATATCGACTTCTGAATGACTAAGATGATTATACGTAGTTGAATAAAAACAGAATAAAACATAATTTCAGACGGGATAGACGCAATGAAAATCTTATTTGAAAATTGGTAACATACATAAAGAAAATGCAAGTTAGATTTTATTTAACTATATCTTTTAACAAACACACACATTATATATATATATATATATATATATATATATATATATATATATATATATATATATATATAAGAGAGGTCGTTATATATTTCCACTCGACGTCATTAATTCGAGTAGAGGTAAATGATAAAAAAGTTAAGATTTCGAATGTTAATCTTAAAAATAGCAAGCAGCCTCTGCCGATTTGAAAGATTGGCGCGATACAATTTCCTCTCTTCCATGTGAACTTCATTCAGAGATAAATTTTATTTACACACACACATTTATTATTTCTCTAAATCTTACATATATATATATATATATATATATATATATATATATATATACATACACTCACACACACACACACACTTGTATGTAAGTATGCAAAAAATTCAGTTTATTTTTCTTTCGTTTGCATCTCGTCGGTTTATGATGGTGTCTAAGAAAAACACTGCATCTTCTCAAATAACAGCTAGCTGCAAAAGCACTGGCATATTTTTAGCAGTTTTCGAGCAAAGACTCGGAGTGAATTAGTACATAGCTGCCGGATGGCGAACTCCTTCGGACATTAAAAGCAAAAAACCCCGCAACGAAACAGGAATACTAGCAAAACGCCTCTTGCTTATCTTAAAGGTACACCGATTTTTACCGCAATTATTGTCGGCAATCTTTCTGCTGCATTTTAATATATATATATATATATTTATATATATATATATATATATATATATATATATATATATATATGTTTAAAATATGATTCCTTCGCTACATAAGAGTTTTCATGTTTCAAAAACGAGAGCCGAAACCATCCAAATAATTATTAAAATTAAATTGAGGTGTTTAGTCCTGTTTCATCTTCAAGCGAAATTTTAGGAATAAGCTATCTTTTGGTTTACGTGTGTTTTTAGGCATGGTCCGTCATAACATTCGTTAGTGTGGGAGTGGCTAGGCTAATTTTTCTTCGTTAAGTGGTCAGAGAGTTAATTCTTATCTATAGATTCATCATCTTCTGAGAGGTTTTGCTAAGGTTGGGTAGGGTATTATAATAAAAGCTCTACTTCTGTATGGAGCACTGTCTTAAAAATAAAAACAAAATTACTAAGGAACTCCGGATTATGCACCTAACGTGTTCATTTCTATTTTCTGCATACCTGCGCACTTTATATATATATATATATATATATATATATATATATATATATATATATATATATATATATATATATATATATGTGTGTGTGTGTGTGTGTGTGTGTGTAAATTATATATGTAAATTAACCTTACAAGCCGTCGCTGTCTTTATTTTGTTCTATTGTTATAAAATCCCTTGTTTATTTTATAAGATGAAATCGGAATCAAATTAATCAAAAGAGAAATTTATGATAGCAAAATCCAATAAACGAAAAACAAACTCGGAAAACAAAAAACAAAACAAAAAAAAAAACAAAAATTTTACAAGTTTTTATTTTATCTTTTCCTGCCTACATACTTACAGAGCAAATACTATCGACGACTTTGAGAGATATTTACTAAAGTTCCGGGCTTGACTAAATGAAAGAAAACTATGAAGATAATGCTGCGCCATTTTTTTTTTTCAAGTAAGAAAAGGTTTTATATCGAACTTAATGTCGATGACTTGTATCTATAATCATCAATCTCATGACCGGGTGTCATCGTAGGGTCGCAGCGTAGCTGAAAACACGACTAGTTCCTCCCACATATATATATATATATATATATATATATATATATATATATATATATATATATATAGGAAGAAAGCCACATAGGTATTTATTCACGCGCAGCGTTTCTATAGAAAGTAGACCTGGTGAAGTCCATCCCTCACCAAGCCAGTGCACAGCCGATGTTTTCAAGACACGCGGCCATTGATTCCATCGGGGGGGGGGGACTCACCGCACCCTGACACTTTAGAGAGTATTCCGTCCGGCCA